TATGTATGTATGTATGTGCTTGTGTACAATGTTTACTTGCAGAGAGACAGAGAGAGAGAGAGAGAGAGTCAGTCAGTCAGAGTGAGAGGGGGAGAGGGAAAGACAGATCCTACGCCGTCATCGTGCGTACGTGTCTCCTCCTGGTAGCCATCGTAGTGAGCATTTTTCCGCAACTGCGAAAACTCCAGCTCCTGATGCGCTGGGAAGCCCCGGTCGTGTTCCACACATCTAAAGTCTTTGTAGGACATTCGCTAATCCCTTCTGGGCCCTGACAACCCAAAACTCGTAAACCCTGCAACGCTCAACCCCTAAACCCTCAACACTGTGTCTCGTAACCCTTCTAGTAATTCTAGTAACCCGTAGAGTCTTACAGGCGGCAGGAACCCCTACATAAAGTCCGCGCGCGTGTGATTCGGCATCCTGCTCTCCGCAGACAATCAGCTCCAACTCGGCGCTGTGAAGCGCCTGTTAGAGGGGCTGTAAGTAACGGTGTAGGGGTTTGAGGTTAGGATCGTTTCTGCTCTATCGTATAGTATGTAGCAGAGTATGAGTAGAATAAAATAGTAGAGTAAATAAGAAACCCTAAACCCTCACCCTAAACCCTAAAATAAAAAATGCGTCGCAGCCGGGGTAAGCGAACCGTTCTCAACTCGACTTCTCCGCAATCGCATGCCCTGGACGGCTTGGCCCGCGACATTGAAGAGTGGGGAGTCGCACACCTGCCAATCTAGCTAGTTGAGTTTAACTGTTTTTTGAGGGTCAGGATTCTGAGGGGGTTTCAAGGTTTAGGGAGTAAGGAGCAGAACTGTTTGTGGAAGCGTCTGTGCACCTGTGATTTGACGAAGCTCAGCTCGTGGCTCGCCGCACTCCCTTTCGGAAGGGCTCAAACTGGCGCTCGACACCTTGCAGCTTGCGCATTGCAGCTGTGCGCTGCAGCTAGTCACTAGTCATATAAAGCCACAAAGAGTCACACTGCAACGTCACTGAGAATGGAGCTCTCTGTCAGCAGCCATTCACAGTAAAGCCTGACGAAATCCTCGCGATTGCTGTAGGTAACGGCCTTGTCCTTGCCATCTTTGCCTGTCGTGATGAACAGGCGTCAGCTTCCCAGGCGGCGCTCGACACCCGCCCCAAGCCCGAACCCGCAAACCTTAAACCGTTCAGCACAGGGCAGGATTGCAAAGCTCTCGTGACTCCGTTTTGCCATTGACTTCGAACGTCACGACAAAATCGAGACCTCAGTCGTACACTGTACACACCTCGCTCACAAAACCCCTTGTGAAGTAAAAGCAAGACTTTCCAGGACAGTGGATCGGGCAGAACGTGTTCTCGAAGACTGCATTCAGCTCCTCCTCCTGCAACGCCTGCTCCTGCGAGAATGCACACCGCACCGGCCCGGCACACAGCATTGCGGAGCCCAACGTCACCTCTTGTCTATTGTCTTGGAGTATGGGCACGCAGGATTGAAACTTGAAAGCAGTATCAGTAGGCAGATGCTAACTTTAGGGGCTTCCCCTGTCAGGTTCTAGAGGCAGGGCCTCTCGTTGTCCACATCAGGGCTGAACTTTCGCTTTGGTCTGGCTTGCTCGCATATGTAATGTCAAACGAAAGCCCGAAAGCGCAACCTAACATCGTACCATTGCGATTGCTTGAGTCGGGACTTCTGTGAACCTTGCCCGGACTCGGCCTGCTGACAAGCTCCGTAACCACCGATGTAATCCGATTTAAGACGTCACCGCCCAAGCTTCAATTGAGGCAGAAGTGCAGCCAAACAGTCAACTCACACGCAACGTATGGAATAAACCCGCAGGGGCGAGCAGGGACGGGGTCCGGCTCCCAGGAAAGAAGCGAACGCAGCGACAGATAGGTGTCCGGATACACCTCGGAGAACGAGCTTGCACCAGCTCAAAGCTGATTGCAACAAGCGTTGTCTGAGAGGACAGCATGCCGAAGATCCTCCAGCCCCAAGGGCTCGTTCTTGATCTTCTTGAAAACCACCGGCGGGAATCGCCTTCCGATCTCTGAAGAACTTACGGCTTCAAGTCAACCGGTTCGATCTGAAAGCCCCCGGCACATCCAGCCCAGGCATGTTGTTGTAGACCACAAGGCCAAGGATCACACCAGCCTGCAGCTCTGCGGCACTTCATATCTGCGACGACAACCTCAGGCCCTGAAACAACCCTAGCGATTGAAAGACGTGGACATGAACACCATGAGAGGACTCGACACCACGACACCACCGCCCAAGCCGCAACTACGAAAATCATCACCCTGTTAGCGCAATTCGCCCATGGCCACCCCAGCCGTCAGCACTGTCACTTTGGGGTTTAGTGTAGTCCTTCCAAGCGTGAAGTATATACTGTATACACATCGATGTTGATTTGCAGACAGTCTCGGAGCTCGGATTTCAAGTCCAACTGAACAAAGCAGATAGCGCTCGACCTGAAGTTCCAGGTCGTGCGAAACACACGAACGCAAACTTGCATGCAGCTCGTTTCGGCCGCAGCGTAACGGCCCGGTCGGGCCAGACGAATTACATCACAAATCAATGACTCCACAAAGGGTTCTCCGCTATACATAGAGCGCGCTGCTCTTTAATCTTGATAGGGGAACTGCAACGCAGCCGTGTCCCTCAAGATCTTCTCCGCCTGCTTCGGCACCATCCACTGCAGGACGAGGATGTTGTGCATGATAGGCTGCACATGATTGTTCATGGGCGCGGGAGGGGCAGGAGCTGCCTGTGGCACGTTGTTGGAGACTCCCCATCCGGCTCCATCGTTCATCATGGCCGTGTTCGGCGACACACTACCAGTCAAGCCGCTCCTAGCCATGGTGCCGTTGTAAAACTCCCTTCCTGCGACGTAGTACTCGTGAGGACGACCCCCGCCGCGATGGACATCGAAGTCTTCCCACGTGCTCCCGTATCGCCTGGCACTATAGGTAAAACAAGTTGGTGATCGGACAATTCAGGACTGAAAGCATCTCAAGACAGTTGATGTGCAGCCTGAGTGGAGAAACAAACATACACACAATGTATGTACGTATGTATGTATGTATGTATATATATATATGTTTAATTACTAATGTAAACATCTGCATGTATGACTCTATGAATGTATGAACGGATGTATGGACGTATGGACGTATGGATGTGTGGATGTACGTAGGTACGTATGTATGTATGTATGTATGTATGTATGTATGTGCTATGTATGTATGTGTGTATGTGTGTATGTGTCTATGTGCATATGCGTCTATGTATGTATGTATGTATGTATGTACGTATGTGTATGAATGTATAAACGTATATATTCCTGCTTGCATATGTCATAAAAATGTATGTAATAATATATGTATATATGTATATGTAGATAGGTGTACGTTATACACATACATATTGTGTCAGAGTGCATTTCGCGAAGGCCTACCAGTGTAACCTTGTTTCCACTGCCAACGGCCACCATGGTCCCACTCGGCGCGGCGGCGGTGGCGGCCACCGTTCGGCATCGTCTCAAAGCGTTAAGTGCTGGGACGACCACCTACCTTTCAGCAAGACTGTGCCGGCATGCAGCACAGGTGCCTGCGGGGCAGCATTCATCAAACGCCGAAACCGCACCGCTATGTGACTCAGGTCCCTGCAGATTTTCCAGTACATCTGTGGCATCGGCAGACGGTGACTGTGTCGGCCGACCTGGATGACTTACGAATTGGTCGCTTGCGGCGTCTTTCTTCTTGCTCTTGATCGTCACGCTCAACATAACCGTTACGATCATCATCGTCATAGCCATGTCATACCGTATGTCTGCAGATATTGCGGGCGTGTTTTCACGGTCTTGTTGGGGCTGTTGTCGTGCTTGCAGTTACCATGGTCACTGCTCTTTTTGCAGTGCTCTTACTTAGTCGCTGTTCGCGTGAAAACTCCGTGATATCTGTATCCAAGCCCCATAATCCCAAAACCCATTACATATATGTCAAGCCTCTGAACCCATGCAACACTAAACTGCGACCGACGTCCGCTGTTACTCACGTGGCCCATCAGGCTGTTGCAAGTAGATTGATCAATAATCCAATGATGACGCCACTATTGCTCACGATATCAAAAACCCCAGCATGACAGCGAGCTTAGACAACCATCCATCTGGGCGCTCCGCAAAGTGTGCGCAGCTCGTTGGCAGTCGCCTTGAGCTCAGCTGTAGCCTGGGTTGCGACAGGCCGGTGGCAACCTTTCGTGATAGTTTATTTATATCTTAGCTGGTTTCTGTCTACTTCTTCTCACCTCTCGCTTCTGCCGCTTCTTTTGAGTAGGACACGCCCGCTCTAAGAACGATGGCCTGATTCCGGAAGCCTTCACGCCCATTCCTGTATCCTACACTCCTGTACCCAAAATCCGGCCCAAATACTAAGCCCGAAAATCCCAAACCCCTGAATCCCAGATCGTATATCGTGAAGATCCGAATGAAGAAACACTGAACCTCGTTGCAAAGAGTGTTTCAAGGCCCCCCCACCTCATAGACTTCTCTTTGTAAGGCCGTCCGCAGTTCGAGAACCAGGTGCTCCCTGTATTCTCTCAAGTGGACCTGCTTCGTTTAGGGACCCTAAACCCTAAACCCTAAACCCTAGGGTTTAGGGTCTGGGCTTTCGGGGTTTCGGTTTAGGCCTTGAAGGGTGGCAAGGCACACAAAATCTACTACAGTGCGCCTGCTTCGAAAATTCCATGTCTTCTGCGGCCGCTACTGCTACTGTTTCTTTTTAACCACTATGATACTTACTTCTTTCCGGTTTCGGAATGAAGACTGGTGGATGGCAGTCTCATCGAGCGGAACACTCACGCCGACCCAACCTGGACTCCGAGCCCAAAACAGAGGCCAAATCGCACAACGCTTACTACTTGCACTACTAGTAACATAAGTACGTACTATACACACGAAGATGTTAACATACAGTAAGTGGAGAGGTATGTAGCTTGACGAACCGAGAGGTGGGTTCACAAATGGTTGTTGATGTAACCTGTACCAGCAGCATTGTTTTAAGACTTAGGACCTTTTGTACATTGTGGGATTCTGCGAGCAAGAGCATGTCTTGTGTGCGTGTGCACGCACGCTCTCGTGGGTGGGGGGCGGAGAGAGGAGCGAGAACAACCGCCTGCGTTCCCTGGATTCATCTGGGAGTTTCAGAAAATTAGGGGTACCTTATGTCGGGTTCCTTATAATAGGGATCCTATTATTTAGGGTACTATATTAGGGTCCCCTATTTTAGGAAACCCCCATCTCAACGTCTAACTGTAACTCGCTTTGCCTCCCTGCCTGCACATAGGCACGTATATGTGAATGCTGTGCGAGGGCACTCTTGTCGTTGCGGGTGTTTCAGCGCATGTACACTGTTTGCACCTATGCATTTGCATCCCCACAGATATACATAGATATAGATGGACAGAAAGCTAGCCATAGAGATGGACCGACGTAAATAAATAAATAAATATATATATATATATCGATTTTGATATGTAGATACATATATATGTATATACATTTTTACATACATACATACATACA